GGAGAAAGTCTTAGGGCATTTACTTTATTTCCATGAGCATTGAATGACCCACAATGTTTGTTTTTTAATGTGTCCCATATATGAATAGAATGGTCGCCATAGCCAACAAACAGTAATCGGCCACTCAAAGAAAAATCTAGGGAACAGGCAGGAAATAAAATACTCTTTCGAAAAAAAACTGCTAACTCTGCATCCATTCGAAAGTCAAAAAAGCGACAAGTTAAATCATCTGATGCAGATGCCACTCCTTCCCCATTAGGAAAAAATCTAACTTGATTCACTTCATCTGAATGTGTATTATATGAACGCACACAACTACCAGTTCTCATATCCCATAGTCCAACATTAGTGTCAGCTGATCCTGTGACAAAGCAATATCCATTAGAATAATAATCTAGACTAGCTACATCTGATGTATGACCTTTAAAATCCTTTATCATAGTTCCTAGTTCTACATCCCATAGTGCACATGTTGCATCACTACTAGCAGTTAAAATCTGATGATCTGATGTTGTAAAAGAACAGGAAAGAACATAACTCTGGTGTTGAGCAACATGTTGTACTTCAGTTATACTACTCTTACCACGAGGAAGTTTATACACATTGCACTTACTATCAAGCCCACCGGCAGCAATTAAAGTTTGTGAAGGAGAAAATGATGCTGTAAAAAGCCAGGTACAATGAGTATCAATTTTAAAAGTATTAATTTTAAGGTACGTATCCCATATACATAATTCACCGCTTTTCAAGCTGGTAAGTAAACTATGTGAGTCTGATGCCCAGTCTAAAGAGAGAACTTTTGAGCTTTGTTCTAAAATTTTTTTATTTTTTAAACAAGTTTTTGGGACATCAGGGATATTTTTGGTCATTTTACTAATGTCATAAGAAACTTTCTTATATGAAATAGAAGACAGAGATAGTTGATCTAAACTGTGACTTGCTTCAACAAGGTTATCTAATGACGTGTTAAGAAATTTTTTTTGTTCTTGAATCCTTGGTAAACTAGTTTGTTTTACATCATGTTTATGAAATTTTTGTTCATCAGCACGAGTAAACATTTTTTTTGAAGACTGTATGTATCGACCAAAAAGAAGCGATAACAATTTATACCAAATATCTATGGACCATTATTTAAAACAGGTATTTTCAACTATATACTTCAGTGTAAGCTGTAAGAAAGCAGAATACATCTTTTAAAATAATTTTAAGATATGTTGTTGTTTTAATGTATGCAATTAATACTAAAAAAAATAATTATAAAAAAATTATTTCTTGTCATGATTAGGTTACGTCTATAGGTATTAATGGTAATCATCTGATTATCATTAATGTCTTGAAACATTCGACAACTAGCTTTAAAAGCGAACATACCAAACGCAATGGCCTTTTTTTCTTGAGCACAAGTGATTGAACTAATGTTTTTCTAAGAAAGGCGCGAAAACAATAAAAAATTCTCATTAATAAATCAATTAAAATATAATGATTTCCATGTCGCTCAGCAGTTGTTTCAGTAATTTTCTATGATAAATCTAACTCATATTCAAAATTAAAAACCTCAATCATATGCCGTCAACTTTTATATAAATTTATTACGCAAGATTTATTTTCTCATCAAGTTTGTTTCTGCTTAGTACTTGTTAAGTTTTGAGCAAATCATTTCTTTTGCGATCGCAACTTTTAAGCCCGAACTTAACACTTTTTAAAATCAAACATTCTTTTTAAACATGTCTGAGTAATTCTTTTTATTTTTTTACCGCGATATTGAATTATACTTTGATATATAACATTTATATATCAAAGACTGAATATATTCAATAATCAAAAATATGTAGTTGTAAAAAAAAAAAAAAAAAAAAAAAATATATATATATATATATATATATATATATATATATATATATATATATATAAATTAGTAAAAAATCACATAACAAAAATTTTTTTCCAAAAATATTTTTTTTGTTAAGTGATTTTTTACTAATTTATAATTGCTCTGTTCTTTTAAGAACATTGAGCACTCTATTTTGTAGAATACATTTTTTTAAATTGTTTAAATATATATATATATATATATATATATATATATATATATATATATATATATATATATATATATATATATATATATATATATATATATATATATATACAAGGCCGGCGTGATAGGGGGGTGTAACACCCCCCCCCCCCATCAATGATTTTTAGTCGGCAAATTGGACCCTTAGTCGGCAAATTGGACCCTTTTAGACTAGTTAGTCGGCAAATGTCGACCCTTTCAATATAGGTTAGTCGGTAATCTAGACCGTAGGCAAATGTCGTCATGGCAGTTGGCAAATTTTGGAAAACGAGGACCTTTTTTTTTTTATTTTTATTTTTTTAGTCGGCAAAATGTAACGGCACCCCCACCCCCACGTGACACCTACTCGCGCCAGCCCTAAATATATATATATATTGCTTTTATAAAAACTTATTTTTAAAAGGGTTACCTTTTCATAAAAGCAAACCAGAAATTTATTATCTACAATAACTATTTTAGTTTTAAAATATGCAATTGAAAAAATAATTTCTTTTAATTTTTACAAATAGCTGTATTTTATGCGAACCGCGAACTGCAAACGGTAAAATGCGAACCTTTTTGTGAACCAACGACATTATATTTTAATGACCGCTACAGTTATGATATTTAAAAAAACGTTTAATCATCAGTTTTTTCATTTAAATTAAATATAAGAGTTCTTACTCCAGTATTTTTACCTGTTTACTAAAAAAAACACTAAAATACTAAGCAATGATGGACAAAGAAGTTAGTATTAAAATGTTTATTCGCTCCACCTCTACCCCATCCCTCCTAATCCAATTTTAAAGCAACCGTGGTGTAGTGGTTAGAGTTCTGGCTTCAGAACTGGAAGTCCGTGGTTCGTATTGTTAATAAGGAAGCAGGCATGAACTTCCTGGTCAAATGCTATTCTATGGTGCCTGTGATAAGATCGTTAGAACTTTTCGGAGCACCTAAGTTAGTAATTCTTTATCGTTTCTGATTTTTAAAAGCTGCATAATATATACGCAGCGGTATAACTGAGTTTTTGAGAAAGTAATTTAAAAATAACTGCAAAAGTTTAAGCCGACTGTCTACCCATGTTTTGATTTTGTCTTGATGATGCAGTAAAAGAAATAAAACTTTGAAGTTTCCCACAGCAAAAAACTCCTCTTCGTTAATACGGTCGTAGTCATAGTCCATTTTTATCACTCAAAACATTTGATGGAGTAAGAATAACATTCTTTTTAGCAAGACCATAATGCTGTTCAAACCTAGTAATGGTATCTGGGATAACTCTGCCAAATAATATCAATCTTAACAATAACTATACTAGAATTAATAAACATCATAATAAATGTAGTTAAGAAATAAATGATAAAGATGATCGAACTATTCGTGATGTAAAAATAAAAAATACAACCTAGAACAATAATATCGCAATAAGAATGAAGAAAATAAAGATAAGAATACTTAAGATGAGACCACTTAAGATGAGACTACTTAAGATGAGACTACTTAAGATGAGACTACTTAAGACAGAAGTCAATATTTAATTATGATAGTAAACAAAATACAAAAAATGCACTAAAATAAATCACATTACTAACAATAAAAAATACACGTAACAGATTTAAAAAGAAACTAAAAGATTAAGAACCAAAAGATTTTTTTTTTGAAAATGTTTAAAACAATACAAATAATAATAATAATAAATACGAAAACAAAAAAGCTGACAACAGATGCTGATTTTAGATACTAGACAAATAGGATTACCAGATGTTCGGTTTTTAAGTAAAAAAGCAAAGTGATAGTCTTAATTTTTAATAGATTCGGCACTGTCTCCTTCGTAAAAATCAGACGCTTTGTAAATCTAAAGACAAACAGAAATATTAATTAAAAAAAAAATATTACAAAAAAAATTTGAGCAGTGATAATAGTCTACAAAAGTTATAAGCCTTAATGAATTTATTTTATTTGAATTTAAAATAACATTTTTAAGCTTGAATATTAATTTTTCTTTGAAATTAATTTACTTTGATATTCAAACTTTCTAATTGCTTTTTTTATTATTGTTAATTCTTTTTATCAGCTTTTTTTTTTTTTTTTTGTCTTCTTTTAAATCCTTATCTCTTATTTTTATTAATTATTTTCTATTCTTTTTCTTTTTTCACTTTATTGTTTAATAAGTTTTTACCTTTTGTCTTTTTGATTAGTTGAAAAAAAAGTTCTCTTTTTGCAAAGCCATTGCTGTTGAAAATATTAGTAAAATTTAATTTCCCATTATAGTAACAAAACGATACGACAAAATGTCAAGTACTATGCTATGGTATCCAGGAATGGATGTAATAAAAAGAAGAAAAAAAACAAGTTTTAGAATTGTTTAACTAAATGTGCAGCCCCAAAATAAAGCCGGTCCGTTTTTACTGCACCGCTGATTACAAGCAATGTTTAAAGCGCTTGTATTAACTTGAAAAAAAGCAGTGAAGTGTAAATTGAAAAATACCAGTACATTACCATCTAATCTAAAAAATTGAAAATATTTATTAATCGTGCTCAAATACTCGTTTTTGTTAAGATTTTTGGGAATTTATTAAACTATCTTCAAATGCAGATAATTTGCTTTTGAACTTCTATAATCTTAAAAAACAAATTTTCTTTAAAAGAAAAAAAAGCACTAGTCAAAAAATCAAACTATTTAATTGATAAATCTATATAAGAATGATTGCCATGGACTTGTTGATTTATTAAGTTGAAAGTTTTTTAGTTAAATTTCATTTAGCATATAATATAGAAGTTCATTTTTTTGAACAAGGTCTGAGACAAGAGAATGATACAACTTTTTAGTATACTTTCTATTCACTTAAACGTTTGCAAAAGAAATGTGAATTGATTTAGCAAAAAAGTTTGCGACTTAATCGTTTGCAATAATTTCTCATTTTTAAAATGTATTGTTACCAGCTCGTTTTTGAAATCGGGTAAAGTTAAAGTATCGAGTAACTTGGTAAAAAAAAGCTCTTAATTAAACAAATTATTTCTACAATTTAGCAGTTTTGTAATTTGTATCATTTTACTTAATTAACTTGATGTTCAAATTTAGTAAATTACAAAATTTAGTTTTTTAGCTTATATTTACTTATTTGAAAATACAGTTCAACTAAGGGTGGAACGCAAGAAGCGAACTTGAGTGAAGTTCGACTTTGAAGTCTGACTTTTTCAAGTTAGATTTTAAAAATTAACTTTGAAGCGATTTTTGCTTTTTCAAGTAGCATTTTTAAGTTTAACTTGAAAATAATTGGTTTTTTAATATGACATGAGTTTATGTTTGTTCTACTTATACACTCAAGTCGAATTTTGAAGTATGACTTTAAATTTTATGTTTGAAGTATGACTTTAAATTTTATGTTTGAAGTATGAATTTAAATTTTATGTTTGAAGTATGACTTTAAATTTTATGTTTGAAGTATGACTTTAAATTTTATGTTTGAAGTATGACTTTAAATTTTATGTTTGAAGTATGACTTTAAATTTTATGTTTGAAGTATGTTTTTAAATTTTATGTTTGAAGTATGACTTAAAATTTTATGTTTGAAGTATGACTTAAAATTTCAAGTTTGCTTCTTGCATTCCACCCTAAATATGGTTCAACTTTGTGAATGTTCAAGATCGTGAGTAATTTATATGAGAAAAAGGGTCATTTGAAAACACTTCAAGTTCTTAGAAGTTCAAATTAATAAGGGTTTGTCTTCACGTGATTTTACTGTATTTATATTTCATGTATACAAGCACTTTTGGCTATGATTGGAAGAACTACGAATAAATTGCTAGACAGATTTCAGGGGCGGATGCAGCATTTTTTGATGTTTGCGTTACCTTACTTCTTAGACATGGAGTAAACTCCAAAAATTTCTATGTTTATATTTATATCAAATGAGGATGCTTAGCAAAAAATTACGATGATTGCAGCATGGGAACAAAAAAGCCCTGAAACTTTAGCTACACCTGTACCAAACGTGAGAGCAACTAAAATAAAATACTTTTTTAACTATTCTCAACCTAGTTTATATTCATCGATAAATTTTAAAACCCACACAATAACCTCTTAGCGTTCAACAATTATGGCCTAATAAAATTTGCAACCCCCTCAAATTGAGAGGGGTTCAAACTTTTTATGGTCATAATTTTTGAACATTGAAATATTTTTGTGTGAATTTTAAAAATCATAGATGAATATAGTTTTATTTAAGAACAGTATAGAAATTATTTTATCAACTTGTTGCTCTCAGGTTTGGAGCAGGTGTAGCTAAAATTTTATGGCTTTTTTGTTCCTAGGCTCCAATCATTGCAATTCTTATTTGATATGAGTATAAAAATATAAATTTTTAGAGTTTGCTCCATGTCTGGAAGTTAAGTATCTCAAACATCAAAAAATGTTGCATCCACGCCTGGATTTTATAGGTCTAAATTCATTTAATATTTCAAAGTTTTGAAATATTGAATGAATATTATAATATTATATATAAAGAAGTATAACATATATTCTATACACTTTTTTATACTTTAAAGTATAAAGAAGAAATCTTATAGAAATGAATTAAAAAACACAAACACAGTATGTAACAATTAGCGTAATGTCGATCAGCTATGCAGCAGGTAGTTTTAGTAATTTTCAAATTATTAAATTTTAAAAGCTAAATTAAATAGTATAAAAGATTATAAATGAAAAAAACAACACAAAGTTTGCTATACAACAAGATTATGCTAAAACGATTAAGCAAAACAACAACATCTATAAATATTCATTATTATATATAATATCAGTGGTGTAACAACTGTTTAGCATTGGGGCAGTTGCCAAGAGCGCCGTTAAATTTTTAATAAATTTTTTATTTACATAGATATTTTTTTATTATCCCCGATAATAAAAAAGTTAATTATTAATTATATCTTAATGCGACATAAACTAATCAATAAAAAGTATAAACAATGCGTTTCAATCTTTTATAATGAAGGATTCAGAATCTAAAGTTGGCCGAAAATACGACTCTTGCAGTTCTATTTTTCATTTGGAATTGCAAGAATAGTATGAGCTGTTAGCGAGCTGTTAGATTGAGTATATAAGTAATCAGATATATATAAACACAAAAATTTCTAAAAACATGGGGACCTTATATTTATCACGAATCTATCTCAATAAAAAAGACTTAAGCCAACTTTAATATTCATTTTTACATAGTTATTTAAGTTATGCTAATATTGCTCGGGGAAATACAGAAAAGTTACAACGTCTTTATCTACGTCAGAAACGCGCAATCCGTATGATCTTTGCAAACCACTTCTCTCATTCGAAGCATTATTTTATAAAATTAGAATTCTTAATACATATATATAAGTTAAATGTATTTAATATTTTATGTTTTGCATATATATAGATAAATAACTTATCCCTATCCTCGTTCAAAGATCTTTTTACTTTTAAAGTAATCAGTAAATGCATTTTGAGAAATAATAACTTTTTAAATGAATCTTTTTGTCAAATAAACTTTTAAATCAATCTCGTATTACATATCGAGCACCAAACCTTTGGAATAAAATTATTTTGTCTAATTTTAATTTTGAAGCAACTTTTACATTTTGCCTTTTTAAAAATAAACTAAAAAACCTCATTTTTTCATTATATAATATATTGAATTACTATTATTAGTAAAAGCGTATTTTGGTCTACTTTTTTATTGTTTATATACATGTCTACGTTTATAGAAGTTTATTCCTACTTATCTTATTTATTTTACTAATACTTTTTACTTTTTAATTTATATGCTGATTTACACCTGTATAAAGTTCTAATGAGAAGATCCTCTTGATCTATTTTTAGCTAAAGAAAGATCATGAGGATCTTCTCATTAAATATAGAATAAACTTCTATAAACGTAGACATGTATATAAACAATAAAAGAGTAGATAAAGAAACCTTAAATAAGAATTTAACAAGGATAATTCCTGTTAAATGCTTATTAAGGTTCTGACGACAAGATATTGGCGATTTTCTTCCAGATACCTTGTTTATATTTGTTATATTTTCTATCATTGAAAGTTTATATAATTTTTTTGTGTTATTGGTTATATAAAGTTGTACAAGGACCAACAAATTTAAACCAAAAAAACCAAACAAAAAACAACAAAAAAAAAATAAACCTTGGTTAACCTTAATTTTCAAGCATTAAAGGAAGAAAAGTTAATCGTAGAGCTTTTTGATACAGTATTAGTAGTTTATCAGTGTTGTTTCACATAAATTTACTTTTAATTGAGAGTTTATTTATTTATCAGTTAGAAAGTTTTAACATATTGACAATATTTAGTAAAATTGACAATATTGCTTTACTTTATAACACATGATACATCAAATATTACTGTACTTTATATTTATATAACAATATTTTCGATATTAGTTTTATCCTCCTATTTATTTAGCATTAATTCCCAGTGAGCACGGGACCTAAAAACTAAGTCTTTTGAACGTTCAAAAAACGTTCAAAACGTTTAAAAGACGACTAAAAACGCCTTTTTAACGTCCTGTGCCCACTGGGTTAATAAATAATAAAAAGTAAACTAGTAAATGTCTTTTGTATTTTTGATATCGCATTTTTATGATTTTCACTTACAGATTACGTAATTATTACCATAAACAAATTTTCACTTACAGATTACGTAATTATTACCATAAACAAATTTTCACTTACAGATTACGTAATTATTACCATAAACAAAAGGAAAAAACTTTTATAACTATTTTATAACAATTAAAAAAGTTGCAAAGCTGAATTTTGTCACTTTTTCAAATAAATATACACTATTTTTTGAAAAAGTGGCAAAAGCCACTTTTTCAAAAATGATGTGTTTTTTTAGAGAGAATCTCTTTTTAAAGTTTTAGAGAGAATCTTACATAATGCAACTTTCAAACATCTATCTTCAAACAATATAAAATGTTGCCATCAATACGGATCGAATGAAACTAATTCAACAAAACACGCAAATTAATTGGTCTTTAAAAGCCTCTAGAGCTGACAATTAGAGCGCACAATTGCTCAGCTAAAACAGAAGTCAAAAAGTTCTTTAAAAAAGCTTCACGGTAGTAGGTCTGAAAACGCGATATCGTGCCATTCATGATTTTTCGCATAACTATTGAACGAAATAAAGTTAAACTTTTAATAAAAAACAGGGTGCATTAAAAAACATAATTTTTAGATTTTTTAATCTAAAAATTCTTTTAAATCTTAAAACATAAAAGATTTCTGCAAGCTATCTTCTTTTTTTTTTTCAAAAAAAAAGAAGATAACTTTTTTTTTTTTCAAAAAGGTACTCATTGTAACTTTACTGGTTTAAAAAAAATGAGGGGTTTTATTTACAAAATTACTTATGAGTCATTAAACTGTCAAATAATGTTTTAACTAGCGTTCAATAAATCAGCCATTATCAGAAATCGGAAAGGTCCCGAGATTGAATGTATAGATTTTCTATTATTCCATAATACTATTCTTTTTATGCTAAGCTTGGGGGTATTATTGCATTGTTAAAAGAATTTCAATACAAAAAGTTAAACTTTTTGCATTAAAAAAAAAAACACAAAATACTCAATATATTATTTGTCTTTATCTTAATATGTCAATGTTTTTGTAAGTATATGTCAAATGAGAATGCATTTCAAATAATTGCTGTAATTAGAGCGTGAGAACTAAAATACCCCCCAAGCTATTCTAAATGCAAGGGCACATAAGCTTGAAAATAGTTTGGAGTTTGCACAATGTTTGAAAGTGTCATTTCTAAAGCATCAAAAACAATTTTATATGCTCTTGGTTTGAGTCAAAAATTGATTTACATATAATTTATTTTTATTTTTTAATTATATTTTTTTTATTTTAAGGCTCTGTTGCTTGAAATTTTTAAAATCTTTTTCAAAATCTTAGCTTTTTTTTAAAGATAATTTGAAAAATATTTGAAAACTCGGATTTTCATTTAACAAATGTAAACTCTATTAAAATTCTAGTGATACAATCAAAATGATCGTTTATTGTTCGAAAGATAATAATCTTTTTTTAAAATAGAAGTACGTCATTTATAATCCTAGCATAGTAAAACTTTTTGGCAATGGTTTTTCAACAAAAATCTAGGTTTTTCACCAAGAATTTCAAAAGCAAAATTTTTGGATTTTTTTGCTGGCAATCAAGCAGTAAATCAATGATATCTTTTTCAGTAATTTCAATATCATAAAATATATCCAAATGTATTGTTTTTTTAATTTACATTTGTGCCCCCTCCCCCAACTTTAAAAACCATGTTGTCGTCTCTGTGGAGTGCTTCTGTTAAGGTAATACCAGTAGATGCAGCTCATTCAACCTTTTCTTCAGAAAGTAAAATTTTTTACGGCTAAAAATCGAAATCAGTTGTGTCTTCAACTAAATATTTGATAGTGTTTGTACTTGTTGAAGCAAGTAGGTATAATAGAATGGAGGGAGAACAAAGCCGAAAATTGTTTAAAACCGTAGTACAGTCTTTGTTGTATAATTATTCCAGTGGCAAGTCAAAATGGCACCTTTGCGTTGGAAAAGGAAAATTTTAAAATTTAGTTTGTAACCTTTGTAAGCTGTAATCAAAATGGAATACTTTCTTAAAAGTTGACTGGACAAGTTTTTAACAACTGTTCAAACTACCAAGTAATAATCATAATAAAAATCATGATCTACGTAAATCGTTTTTTGAAAACCTCGATATCAGGTATAAATATCAAAATAATTAACTTAATGCTCAATAAACCAAACTGAATAATGTAAATGAAGAAAAAAAACCTAAAAATAGCTATATATGTTCAATAAACATCAGGATAAAAATTTTTTAATAAAAATTTTTACATGTCGTATAAATTTGATTCCGGCTCTGGCTCAATAAGCGACAATGGTGAGGAAGGAGGCATGAACTACCTGGTTGAATGCTCCTCCGCGGTGCTTCCTGGTTAAATGCTCCTCCACGGTCCTCCACGTTAAACCAATAAGTCTTCTTGGAGCACCTTAAAGAAGAAGAAAAAAAAGAATCTGGGGACATATCCTATTTCTGATATTGGCTGTCTTTTAACATTTAAATTTCTTTCAAAGCTGTTGTAAATAATATTGTTACATAAAATTTCTTGTAAATAACATTATCATATAAAAATGATGCTGAAGCCAGAACCGTCGCGAAGAGATTTTAAAGGAGGGGGGGGGGTTGAAAAAAGGTGCTTTGCCGACTATGGGCAAAAAAATAAAAGTTTCGAGGGCTGACTGCCAACTCATAAATCCAAACTTGCCGACATCAGCATCGACTAAATTTTTGAATAAAATTTTTCTATGGGCGTTTAACACCCCAAACTCTGCCCCTCTCTCCCTCCTTAATACTTCCTGGGATGAAGCTTTATTGTATGTTTATGCAATTATGCTTTAAAAAAGCAATCATGAAATCAAATAAAAATTTCAAATCTTTTATAATTAACCACATGTTATAATTAACAAATCTAGTGTGCCTTCCCGCTAAACAATGTCGTTTAAAATATATTTTTTTCATTAGTAGTAAACTGTTAAATTTAAACAGTGTAATTTAAAAAGATTAGTGTTGAACTTTTGAGTCTGTCGGTATTTTGTGCATTTCATGAGTCTAGGAGTCAGTGTTTTATTATTTCTTTTAGTCTGGTAGTAAAGTATCTCTACAAAAATGCGTAACTTTGAAAACCTTATTCAGCCGTAGTTATTAGGAAGTATTTTAGTTTAGTTGATACCTGTACCTTACTATTACCTAATAATGACTTCATTTCGACAAATTTGTGACAAAGCTTGTAACATTGAAATATTACATTCAGAATGGAGTCCTATGAGAGACTTAATTGCAGTTGTTTTAAGTAATGGAGACGTTCGACTGCATCGCTTATATTGGCAAAAGGTTTGGGTAATGCCTGGAAAAACTAATAAAGCAGCTCAAGTTGCTTGGAAACCTGATGGGAAACTGTTAGCTATTGGTTATGAAGATGGTTCTGTAAGTTTAGTGGAGATAGAGAAAGCTCTTATACTTAACACCGTAAAATGTCCATGTAAAGTAACATCGCTTCGTTGGAGCTCTCAAACAAAATCCAAAAAGTATAACGAGTTTAGCGAAAAATGCGTTCCATTTGTTGAAAAAGACAATTTAAAGTTAGAGTTTAACAATCTAAATATTTTGATAAATAGTTCAGATAATGAGAATGAGTTTATGTTAACTGTGGGCTGTGAAAATGGAGAGGTCTTTTATTATGCTGAAGGCATTTTTCTTATATTATCAGTAAATTTAAACAACAATCTATTCCAAAATGTTATTGTTTTAAATACACATGTAGAGTTATCAACTGGAGTGCTTTCTGTAATCTTTAAAGGAGTTGAGTCTAACAGTAATGCACTTATGAAGCACTTAGAATGCACTTATTTGCAGCAATATTCTTCAAAACTTTTTTCTGAACAAAGCTCAGACTTATTTTTTTTGTCTAGAAAACTTATAAAAATTATTACTCTAATAGATAAATGTGAAAAAGTTATTAATCGGATGAAAGAGGTATCTGATGATGTGTGTTTTAGAATAAATACTAAACTTGAAAAACTTGAGGAAATGCTGCAAGGAACTGGAAGTTCTGTTGTTGGTGTTTTTACAGCAGCTTACACAATAGGTGAAGCCAGTCCTGAGATGGAAACATTTTTAATACAACATTTTACAATAAAAGGATTAAAACAAATTTCACAAAGTGTTCATTCTTCTTATTTAAATTTGCAAGCTTTTATAAATGAAGAACTAGAAGTAATTTTGCAGCATTTATTGTTCAACATAGTTGAATTATGTGGAATGGAAGAAATGTTTGATAAGTTTGGTCTTTTATGTATAACAGATGGTATCACACTAAAATGTTTATCCATACTACACCAACTGATGTTGAAGACACGTGCGTTACTTCAAGCTGTTTGCAGTGATATGAACAATTTTCGAATTTTTTTTGTTTGGCTTATAAGTTTTATGTTTACTATAAGTGATGAAGAAAACCCTATTCCTTTTAAACAATTTACGAATGATGAATTTGATGTTATGCTAGAATTTTTGGAGTATCGTCTGTTAAAAGTTAAGAAAAACAATAAATATGGCTATGACCTAGAACGAGTTAGTCAATTTTTTCAACCAGAGGTTTTAGATTTTCCAGATGATTATTCAAGCAATGCTTGGTACAATTTCATAAGTTCAAATAATTTGCTAAAAAACAGTAAACTCATTATTAAACCAAATTCACAAGCCACCTTAGTTAGTTTGTTTAATCAACTGAAAGATGCATTTGATGTAATTTTTCGATCATTCAAACAATATTTATCTGACTCTTTTAGTTTGAAAACATCTATAAAAATTTTTGAAAATCATCCAGATCATCCTGATTACAAAAAAAGTTGTTTTCCGTCAACCTCATTTCTTCAAAAAGAAAATTTAATATTAGCATTAGTTGTAGCTTGTTCTTGTGAATCTAATGATCTAATTTTATTAAAAATTGATGCAAACAGTTTAGTTAATGTACACCATTGTGTGATTGAATTAGATCCAGACTTGAATTCGTCTTATACTGATGATAACTACGTTATATTAAGAAATGCACAGTTTTATAACTTTGAAACTATCACTGTTGTATTTGAGGAATTTAATAGTAATGATAATAGCTCCAGTGTTATTGGTCAGGTAGCGTTGAGTAAAATATTAAATAATAAATCAATAGAGCTGACAACTGATTATAGTTATTGTGTTCTTAATACAATTTTAGAGCTCAAACAACAACAGGCCATTAGAGGATTCATTTCTGAACAACGTTATATTGAAGGGTTTAGTTCAAAGTTTATATGTGTAAATGGATATTCACGTAAAGTTTGTTGTTTAGTAGCAGCAAGTGGAAGGAGAGTCTGTATATTTGATATGTCTTCTGAAGATGATATTGAAAATGATAAAAATGATGATACTAGCGAATCACAATTATAAATATTTTAAATTATAGTTTTTTAATTATAGAATTAAATTACATTACTTATAGATTTGATATTTATATTATTTTGTTGCATTCTTTTAAATAAAACCCTAATTATTTACTTTTACAGTTTTTTCCCTAAATTGATATACAAAATTAAATTGCTTTCTTGGTTTTACATAATTTTTAGTTTGAATTGTTAAAATTCTACTGGTAACTTGATATTAGATGTTACCAGCTGAGTTTTTATCATCATCATTCAGGGTCTATTCTAGGAAAAAAATTTGGGCGGCGGTACCCTCTTGTTCCGGTAAACTTTGGCAGAAAATCTGCATTTTTTTATTTTTGCAAAAAAAAAAAATATTTGTCATAAAAAACATAAAAAAAAATAAAATAAAAAGTAAGGTCCTCAAATTTTAATTTGGGTATTGCCAAAATATGGTTGACACTATCAAAAACAATCTAGAATAGCCCCTGTCATTATCATCATCATGATCATCATCATCAGTGCCACCTTTGTCATTAAAGTTATAGGACACCCCAGAATGTTAAGTATTCTTTATGCAGTAAAAAAATAAAGTGTTTATTTTTTGGATATTTATTTATATAAAAAAATATAAAAGTAAAGATTTCAAACTAATATAGTTGATTAAATAAATAAACCTAACTAAAAGAAAAATTTCAAGTAAATACTTTTTACTATAAATTTTTTTTCAATTTACATTGTATTTTATTTTTAAAACCTTAATTTGTATGTAATATATTCTTATGTTTTAGGTTTTAATTGAATATACATGACGTGCAGTTTATCTGATTTTAAACTGCCTGATCCCGATGTTCGGTTAGTTATGTTTGGAGATACTGTCTATAAAGTGAAGTTACTCTTTCGATCAGCTCAGCATAATGGAATAGCATCAGCAGATAGGTATACTTGTTACACAACTTTATAATATAAAATGATTGTTTTGCTGTAAATATTAAAGTCATTGTATTATCTAAGAGAGTGTTATTTGATTATAATTTAAATCACTATAAATGAAATGATTCACTTAAAGTGAATGTAGAATTTTTTAAATTTTTTTGTTTCTACACTTTCTTCTCAACTTTAAAATATTATCATTAAGTGCATGTAACAATTTCAATATACAAAGAAAATTTTTAAGATTATTGTAAACAGAAAACTTTAAATTTTTATAAACCTAAAAACTATATAATTTAAAAAAATGCTAGACAAATTATTAAAAATTGGCACAAGCAACTATTTCTAAGAGAATGATGCTAATCAGGTTAGGGCTAACATTGTAATCAGGTTAGGGCTAATATTGTAATCATGTTAGAATAGAGTTAGAATAGAGCTAACATTTTAATGTGATGAAGCTTGGGTGAAAAAAACATTTTTTTATCATGTACTAAAATAGTAGCATCTTTTTTTACATATTGTTGTTACATTCTTTCTATCCTTAAACTCAAAACATAGATGAACATGGTCACTGTGTAGAGAAACAAGGTATACCTTAAGAAACTGTAACTTAACTGGTAACTAAATACTGTAAGCTAAGAGGTAGCAGTTAAGTTAGGTTTTGCAATTGCAAGAATGATAAACTTAGTCTAACATGAATCATTTTATAGGAAATAAAATATTAAATGAAACTCTAAACCAGATTATAAAATATTATGTGAAATGCAACAGCATTTTTTAATACAAGGTTAATTAATTTAGAGATGCAATCTTGATGCAATCTCTCTGGTAAGACCTTTGTATCAAATTTTTTTGCTGACCTCTAAAAGATTGAGGTCGACAAATTGTTGTTATTATTATTATTATTATTATTATTATTATTATTATTATTATTATTATTATTATATATATATATATATATATATATATATATATATATATATATATATATATATATATATATATATATATATATATGAGTCCAACCACCCCCCACAAATTATTAAACAAATTCCGATTTACAACACCCAATTTAAAATGGTCCATCATAAAATATGCCCCCGCGTACAACAACAACCAAAAATGCTTATACGAAAAACTAATTATTTTATTGTATAAAAATCCTCAAGAATTATTAAACAAAAAAAACTAACTAATATCTAAATGTCGCCATGAGAACAAGTTTTTGCTGGACAACCACAAACCAAAAGATTAGATTTTTTAACTCATTTTCTTTTGTACAGATTTATTATTTTTACGAGAAAAAAAACATATTTACACCTGATGATTGCATTTAGCATGAAACTAATAGTTGTGAAAAATATGCCGTTTTATTTATAAATAATATAAATACAGCTCTGTTTTAATTTAAATCATTTTAATATAGTTTAATTCATCGAGCACTCTCGCGAGGATATATGCAAGCACTAATACGTATATATATATATATATATATATATATATATATATATATATATATATATATATATATATATATATATATTTGTTTTCATGCATTTAATAAAATTCTGGCGATTTTTTGTTAAGTTTTTGTTTACTAAATGAATTACATCATTAAGTAATTATTATTTCTTCCTGTTGGATTGACAAGGTTTTAACTAAAACTTTTTATATAAGGAGAATTAAAAAAAAAACTTTTTTAATATGTATTAAAATTATTTATTTTATTATTTTTTGTTTGTTTGTTTATGTACTATTATTTTGGTTGACATTTAGATGTTTATAAAAGATTTAAATGTGAATACTTAGCAGCATTTTGAAAATTCAATCTTATAAAAATAAAGCAATACGCATAAACGTAAGAAGTGTTACTAAAAACTTCGACAAACCAATGACTCAATCAAGTAATAATAAAGATGTAAAACTAAAATATTTTTTTGAAGTTGCTCTTGGTCTTGCGAAAAAACTATTTTCAGTTTGATAACTTTCATGAATGTTCAATTCTTTTCAACTCTAATTCAATTCTTTTGTTACGCAACTCTAACTCTTAATAATAGATTAAAAAAAATCATGATAACCGCTCAATAATGTAAATGATGTAACTTAAGTAAAAAATACAGTTTATTTATCAAAAAAGCAAGTTTATTTAAAAAAACTTTTTATAAAAATTTTAAATTGGTTTAGAATTCTCTGCATTTTGTAAAAGTTTCTAATACAAACTGCTTTACTGATTCGCAGAAATGAGACCTATAAGTTGAATCAGTTTTTTTACCTTGTTTTCCGTGTAACATAAGTGCAAGTGGCATTTTCAGTAATAAGTTTGCTATCTTTTGACCAAACTCAAAACTTTTAAGCTTATTTTATTTATTAGACTAACAGCTTTCATACAAAATTGCTAAAAGTTTAATTTAAAAGTTTAAATGAGCAAATATTTGATAAAGTTGTTGCGCATGTAACGTAAGTTAAAAATGAAATTGCCCATATATGTTATTTTAATGTTTTTATTTTCTCATTAATAACTATAATAACTATAATAATGAATTATTAATAATAAAAAAAAGAAAAGATGAGCAATTAATTTAGTTTTTTCAGCGCGTTTTTAAAATGTGTCATTTTTAATAAATGCAAAAAAAATCGTGGCCATGTTATCAACAAAAAAATATATATTTGTGGTCATTCAAGGCATGCGACCACAGGCGTCTCCTGAGGAGGCCTGATATATATATATATATATATATATATATATATATATATATATATATATATGTATATACAGGCTTCGGCAGGAATAAAAACCGTACGGGCTATGAAAAGCCCGTCTTAAATAGACTTGGCGGGCTATGAGGGCCGCCCGTCTATATGGTCTTGCACGGGCTTTTTTAAACTTTAAAAAAAATTCTAAAGTTTGAACTTTTTTTTTTTTAAATTTGTTAATTTCTCTTCTTCTTTTTGAATGAAAATGTCATTGAATATTAAACATTTTGTGAGTTGCACTAAAATAATATGTTAGAAAGCGATTAACTGTTTAAAATGCTTAATTACTTAAGTAACTAAAACACTGCAGTAAATGAGTTGGATAATACTTAAAACTAAGATTTCAATAATTGTTTTTCAAAGTTTTCACTTGCACAGATCTAATTTCGTTTCACGTGGGTTAGTTGTTTTATGGTTGCTTTTGTTTAGATTTCTTACTCGAAGGAACTTTATTCAGTTTTTTATGTTTTTTTTTTAATCTTTATTCCAGATAATATCTGGCAGATATAGTCAAACGAATGAACGTGAAAACGACGGGAAAAATCCTCGAACAACCATGGCGTTTCATCACGTTTCCTTATTCAAGCATCCTAACGTGTTTTTTTACCAAAGTCTTTTTGAGTATATTTATATATTATTGTTTTATTCAAGTATTCGATTAAATTATACAGGTTTTTATCGTGCTTTTTTAGTTCATTCGTTTCTCTTATTCTTTGTGAATAAAAATATTACATAATATTTTCAAAATCTAATTTTTTTAATTATTCAGCAAATAGTTTGAAATCTTTTTTTTTTTTTAACCTTGAATCAATGAGCTCGATAGTTTTAGAATTGTTTGGTATTAGCTTGGTAATATGATACGTAACTATGTTATTTTTCAAATTCAATTATTTATATACTCTTGCATTCTATTGGGCGTGCAAATTAAAAACTTAAACTGTTATTTATATTTTTATAACTTTGCTTTACCTATGCCTATCCTGATCGGAAATAGTTATTCTGATACGTGAATAAAAAATTTGAAATCTAATTTCTTTTAATAAAATAAGTTTTTATTTAGAAGTACTAATAATTTCTTAAGATACCGGGGCTTCCGTTACTTTATATACAATATAAGCATGTATATAAGCGTATGTATGTTGCTAGCTTTAACGTTCGTAGTGCCCTCTATAAATGCTAATGCTTTTGATTTTGCCAGACCTTTTAACTCGCGAAGCAATTCTTTTTTATATTTTATACAAACCATACACCATATCTTCACAACAAAAATTGTTCCATTCATCACCTCAGTTTCTTTTCCACAGACTCCATCTTTACCCCAACTCAAAAATGTTGCTAATGTAACTCTTCTACCAGATGATGCCATTACTATCTTTACTGAAAAACTTGAAAAACTTGAATGACTGGATAACTTGAATAACTTCATAACTATAAAGCAACACTATTTATATTATCTACAAAAATTGATTAGACGTTTGTTGATTTTTAATGAGATATTTCATTTTCAATAACGAGTTATATAATTGCATATTAAATAAACTGCCGTCTCTTTAAGAAAAAACGTGAAGTTAACGCGGAAGTTAATGCGGAAATATCACTTTAAATGTCTTTAAAGTAAGACAAACTAGTTTATCGGAAAAAAGCGAAATACATGGATAATTAGTTTGTTATCGTTATTATTATAAACATTGAAAAACCAAAACAACATGATACTTCTTGTGCATCACATGTGTATATTTCCCTATTTAATATAATAGTTATTAAATTTTGAACATAATATGGTAGCTGTTTGGTATTATATCAAACAGTTATCGTCGTTTAAAAAACTGTAAGATTTAGTTATATTATTTTCTACATCATGTTATACAATAATGATTAAATTGTTTAATTTTTATATTTAAATATAAACAATTATAAGTTGGAGTTTGCTATCCATATTAAAATTATGTCATGAGAGAAGTTTTAAAAAGTATCTTAATAAAAAGACATCAAAATATTCATCTTTTTTTTTACACAAAACTTATTTTTCAGACGGGCTTTATTTCGCCCGTCTAAACTGACTTAGACGGGTGCGGAGACGGACACGGGCTATAGCCCGTCATTCCTGCCGAAGCCTGTATATATATACAGTCGCGATCAAAAGTTTGGAACATTTTAAAAATTTGCAGAAAATTTGAAATACTTGTTAAAAACCTTTTATTTTAATTGAAAATTTTGAGTATTAGTATTATATACATGCGCAATTTATGTTA